CACTTGGTGAATCGGGGGTGGGGGGGGGTGGTGGAGTGACCTCGTGTAGGAAAAAGTTGTGAACGTGTTAGTGATTTTTTTAGAAAACAAATGAATAATTAGGGACTCATTTAATTTTCTTTTTCGCGTCTTTTGATAAGGTTTTGTAAAATGGAAATAAAGTTGAGTCGATGAATTGGTATCAAATGTGGATTTTGTGTAGTATAGTCAACAAAATACACTAACAACTGACCCCAGACGTTTGCGTTCCTAACAGTGTATACATAGATGCGCATGCTTGAAACGGTGAGAAACTGTGCGTATGGGAGTAAGTATGCACCAGAGCTACGTTGCATCCTCATAGAACTACAATTCTGATGTGTTTAAAAAGTCCCGTAAATGACGACCATGGTGTGTACTAGTAGTAGAGTGCACTAATATGCACCGTGACTGGGCAATGAGTCCGACGGGAAAGTGATACTGCACAGGTGTGCATTTATTGCGCGGAATTTTCATATTGTTTCTCATTCCATTCTCCCTGAGAAATGGACCAGTTTACTCAAATCGCGTTAGAGAGTTAATCGTTTACATGTTTGAATATCAACAAATTTATCGGTTTACTGATTGGATGGCATTTTGAGAAAGTGAAACAGAAAACGTGGTCTGTGGTGGAAACGACGGAGTCAAGTTGCTCCTCGGCTAAGTTGAGATTAGGTCCGTACAAAAGTGTCAAAGCAGTTCGCCATGTGAAAGCGAGGACAGATGGAACTTCTGTCCGCATTTGTACCGATTCGATGAATGAATCCCGTTTAACAAGAAGTAAGAATTGCGTTAATACCATTACAACTGTCAAGTTTCACCTTATTTCATTGTCATTTTTGTGAATTTCTGGATCGGTAGGCCCACCCCTTCGGAGATGAATTGAAGTGGGCGATGGTGAAATAGAAGACTGATATTGATCCAAGCAAACACGGATATATCTAGTTGAACAACTATTTACGAACGAGTGGAACTATTACACAGAGGAGCCCTGGACCAGATCCAGTCTATTGTTCCGAGATCTGAGACCATCGCCAATTGTTAACAAATCTTTAATCATTTTAGCTATCCAATCACATTTTGAAAACAGTTACTTGTTGCATATAATACCGACTTCTACTGCACATACTGTCCGAAAGTAATCCGTAGAGGTTGATCGTTCAATTAGTATCAACCTCATGCAACCTTGCATTCGGGTTAGTTCAATTGTATTGTGTCACGGACGGATCGCGTTCGCTGTGCAGGGAGGAGGGACGGATGGGGTTGTGACTGTTCCCGTGGTTTGCTGAGATAGAGTTGTGATATCCTGAGAAAGGTTGCAGTGTCCCTCTGTGTGTGTCAGTTAAATTCACAAATGTCATGACTGACCGGCCAGAGTCTGTGCATTCATGATTGCCTCTGGTGGTCTGGACTGAACCAACCAAACTTCTTAGTTAATTGCCCAATCATATTTGTTCTGTGCTTTTTGGTACAATGAATGCAACTTACGAATACGATTCCGAAAGAGCAAAGGTGGAAAAAACGATCGATCTCAACGCCGGTTTCCCTCTTTTCGTCAACAAATCTACAAACTGGGATTGGTGTTCGAGGTCATCGATGAGACTGGGGTTTGAAAAACACTAAAATAATCGATAGATCTTCAGTTGTGGTCCTTTGATCGGAACCTCATGTGACCTACGTTCGACAATAAAGGAACGGGTCAGGTAAGGTAATAATTGTGCTTTGTAAATTGGTATGCACTTGTTACTTTTCATCTGTTTGTCGTTCTGGGGCAAGTTTGCCGTACACATTTCATGATCAGTCGAGATATATTCTTCATAGCAGAACAACTGAAGGTGTCCGCTTGACTGGTGATAGAACACTATGTTATCACACTTACTATTGAGCTGAGCAAAACAGCTAAACTGAATTCAGCTAACACGCGCTTCGGCAAAAGCTATTCATTATTTTATCAACTCATTTGTACAGTCTGTTGTACCAATGTATATCATTAAATCTTGATTTGGCAATTCAAATGAGCCAAATTTTCCCCCAGGTTCAATTTAATCAACAGATTTTAAAACCCAAATTCAGGTGTAGAGGACAACAATCTCGCGATGTGGACTTTGTGTTGCCTCCCCTCCCCCCTCCCCGGGGTATGAAAATTTGTCAACCGTTCTGTCGACCAGTGTTGAGTTCAGTATTCAAAACCCCGCATGCACCCGCGTGTGCCGAAGGAGAACGATGGGTAAACCGTGTACCTGGTCAAATGACAATAGAGTCCACCATGGCAACCACTTAGTTTGTACGGGTTGTTTGTAAACTACAGTTGGAACGATGAATGCCCAATAGCACGTAACTCCTCTGTCCATCCATTGTTTTGTGATATCTGGTCTTGTTGTCACACCTTCCGGATGGGACCGGGCAGTACCTGTGGTTATTATCATTATCCCTCCGCCCATCCTACGCAAATCACACAAATCAACGAAAGACGTGGATCAATCCGGTGCACAACGTTAAGCCCTCGAATTGACTAAATTGACGAAGAATATTAGCTGCTTCACGTGAGATACTCAGAGATTCATTTTGATTGAACCAGCATAGAATGGCACAAATCAATAACCGTACGCGAGCATAAACTTAGAGGACTATAAAAAAAATAAAACGCATTGGAAAATGATAATCCCCTTCTGTACTCCAATACCAACAAGAAGGGAACCTAAAATTACTNTCAAACATAGTATGTGATTTCTATAATATTATATATATATGGTATGAAATAGAACTTATAATTTAAAATAATATATCATACTACCATGGTCTTATATTATATCAGAAATAATATGTATAATATATAATATATATGTATAATATATAATATATGTATAATATATAATATGTATCATATCCTGAAAGATAGTTTATTTGCGAGGTGATCGAGTGAAATGCTCATCTCGAGGAAGAATGCATAAATTCATCTGCACACAAAAATAGATAATGTATTCATGTAGTTCACACAGCAGAATGGGTTTAGGCATTGTAGCAAACAGATCATGAATTCAGTGCACAATTTTTTCGTTAACGCGATATAATTAGGTTACCCAAGCCAAAGCAATTGATATTTTATTCAGGAATACATAAACAGAGCTAGCCGAAGTTTGAGTCATATGTCAGCAAGGTGTTATGGGAAGACTGCATGTTTCTAACACGTTTAAGATACGATCCACTGATTGAAACAGGATTCAATGACTGAACAACAAAACATCACAGAAAAATTGTGAGCCGTTTTAAATCTCCGTGCATAAGCGAGAAAAAACGGGAGNAACCCTTGGAAACACTGCACAGCTCTTTCCATCTGGTTGGAGCTCATCAGTAGTGTGAATCCATCGACTCAACTGAGGATTGCACACGGGACGTTATAGATGGAACGCAAGAAAGTTACCCACTTGACCATGGGACAGCTGATCGTTTTATCCTGTCTATACACGACACAGAACAACTGATTTTCGCAGGCTTTTTGTGCGCATCTTTCTAACTCATTATCGGGCCTAGTCGCCGGGGGTTTTTCAAGTCCATCAACAACTATCCAAACCTGATTACTTCTTACACGGGGAGGGAAAATTCGAGCGGATTTTCTTCACACGCAGAGCGAATGAAACGTGAACTGAAAAGCTACAAAGCGTTGTAGTTGTTTCCGCCTTACTGATGAAACTCAACAAGATCGAACTAGTTGAACAATGGATCTCACAGTTTGAGTTTCCTTTGCTATGTTAATGACTAAAACTATCGAGAAGTCGAATTTAATTATCTACTACTCAGTTATAGCACATTTATTCGCGTGTGTTCATTACCGGAATACTTTTCGGAATATGGATATTTATTTGGGTCCAAAGTCGCGAGGAATAAGTTGTCAACAACGTGACAAGGAGGCCATTAAATGTGGTCACAAGCGTCAAATCAGGAATACAATAAGTTTTCTTATTTCTTACTTGCTACTTCTACTGGTCAGTGTATCCTCTTAGTGGTGGTATAATTCAGTTATTTAGCTCGTGGTCACTGGGACACACAATTGTCACGGTCCGATTAGAACAACAAAATCGATTAAGGCGAAAACAGAGAGCTTTCGAAACTCACCGGTGAGAAATTCCAGTTGCTGTTTCACGTGGACATCAAGCTGATAGAAAAAAGAGTGATAAAATGCTTTTTTGTTCCTGCTACTATTGCTCAACAAATTCGTACAAGGTATACAACACGCTCTTAAAACGAAAAGAGATTTAAA